GGTTATATATATTATTGAGTTTACTGCTTTAAATACGTGACCAACTTTAAAATGTGTCTAATTGATTTATAAAAATAGGTCCTATGAGTCTATGACTATCTMATTGATTATTAAGTTATTGTTTAATAATCACTTCGTTTTAATTCTCCTTGTTTTTCTCACAATTTTCTTAATACGTTTTTGTCTTTCTTAAAAATATATTTGAAGGCCAAAATCCAAAACAAAAAAACAAGTTTTTTAAAACTACCCGTTTTATTTTTCAAATTTTGGCTTGTGTTGAGAAAATGAAAGTGTTAAAAATAATGAGAAATCAACTTCAAATTAAAGTGATTCGAAATTGTGAATAAACAAATGAAATAGTACAAATGTTGGTGATACAAGAAATGTGGTACAAAATGTGTTAGTACCAAATATGTGTTACAAATCTCAACAGCTTAGATTTTGAAAACGTCTTCAAAAGGTAGGTAGCTATACAAAGAAATACACGGATGAAAATAGTGTTTATAAGTTTAATTTTAAAARTATAGAACCAAAAACAAAATAGTTATCAAGTGGACCTAAATTTTTCTCCATTTAATAAATTCCTAAATCAATAAATTTTAAAAAATATATGATAGATTAAGCCCAATGACTCATTAGACACGACCCTACGAATTCAAGAATTTGAAATTAAATTATAAGTTCAGTTCAACTTTTAGAGTTATGTCTATCTAATCCAACTAATCATCAGTTTCCAGAGTTACGTCTATTTAATCTTAATTAATTATCAGTTTAACTTATTAGATACAAAATACATCAACTAAAATAGRCACGATTTTGAAAGTCGTAAAAGTTGTAAGTGCAAGTTATTGGGTTGTTTTTCTGTAATTGCAGCTTACAGACTGCCTTGAGGAAATGAAGTAGTGGTGAAATTTACAACGAGCCCGCCGGTGGGTTTGGCAATATGTCAAAGTTGCTTCTGGAACAATAAAAGGCCACCAAATATTTCCCTTCCCATTTAAATATATTTATGCATATTAAATAAATTTGATGAAACCTTATTTTAAAGAGAAAATTAACAAACACAAGTTTAATATTTGAATTGAAACCAACAAAACAAAAACAAAAAAAACTTGATCAAATAATGTGTTTATCAATAATTAATAAAAGATCCATTTTCGACTGACGTTGTGGATGGACAAGATAGAGCAGAATCAAAAGTAACATAAAAAAAAATATAATAATAAATAAAAAGAGAAAGGGTTAAAATCAGATCAAACGTTGCCAAGAATTGTGGCTGCAGAATCTGTGTCCTCATCCCACTGTCTTTTCAAACTTTATTTCTTTTTCAACGGCCAAACTTAACGACCATGGAAAAGCAAGAACATAACCAAACCATAAAGCCTTTCACAGAAAATGACTGGTTTGGCAAATGCCACCGTGTCAACATATCCTTAAACTCGGATAAGGAACAAGGACATGGGAAAATGACACTTCCAGCATTGACTTTTCACAAAACTTGGGCCTTGTTTGGCTTTCCAAGGAAACCATGGCAGGTGGCATGGTGAAAAATGGGAGATTTTAATGACTACCAAACAGAAACATGTATTAATCACGATTTTGATTCAGGTTCTAATGTGAGAACTGAGATACCATAATGCAAAGCAAACACAAACCAATATTTTCTTTATGCTAAGGACACCAAGGTTTAAACAGCAGCAGCAGCAAGCAGTAGAAGGAAGCATTCTTTACAGTAAAATTGAGAAAGATGCTTATAAGTATTAATTAACTTAAAACAGATTCGGTTGTGTTGGCTGGAAAATGTATCCACCAGCTTTTCCCACAACGATCTCGCTGTTGACTATCGTCTAGCTTCGTACATTAAGAGGTGAAGTAGTATTAGTAGTAGTACTGCAGCTCTATGATACTATGTACCTGCACGTTAAATGGTCGCAGTATAAGTGCAACTGAATCTCGGCATCTTTGGCAATAGTTGACATCAAGAAAAATAATGGAACTCTGAAATTTTAAGGAAAGCTCGTGGAGTTTGGTGGTGATCAGGATCTACAGTTTTTAACTCTATAGAAAGATAAAAGGTAGGGAGTTTCTGGGTTATAAATGCATTGAAGGGAAGCAACTGATCGTCTACAACTGGTCGGGAGATTTCGAAATGTAGAAGCAAGAATAATCAGCCAAATGCTTCAAACAAATTATGGCAGATGAGTACCTTAATAAGTATATAAACCTTGGCAGGTGATTTAGTACTAATAATAGAGAGACCCTGCAAATAACAAAGATTTAGTAATACAATATGAGTAATTGAAATTGAAAGAAGGACAATTTTCAATATTTTTTCTCATAAGCAGCACATCCCTTTTATACCTTGCCACCAATTTCCTCTTGAAGCACTCCCAGAATCATCTTCTCCCCCATCCTTCTTGAACTGAGAGATATCACCAAAACAAGTCAAAGCAGATCATTAGGGGGCGATAAAGAATCTCAATTATATTTCAATGTCTATTCTTTTACATGTTACCATTGTTTGAACAGATGCAAGAGTTCCAATTACTTCTCAAATAGAATAGTACTACCATGTTTAGTGCTTTAAACCGTGAACTTACCCTAAGAAAATGATGTGATGAATAAAAAGGAAAAGAAAAAAGAAATGAAATCGGTTGAATCTGCAATTAGACAAAGATATAAAACTATAAATGATGTGTTGAATATACGTACCACCGAGTTCACCCCGGAATTATGGGAATTCTGAGACTGAGAATAAACATCTTGGCCACCATAATAGATTGATGAGCTAAGATGACATGGTTGTGCTCTTTGTTCCTGATAAATGGAACTCAGATCTTTATTCTTCATCTCCTGACTCTCCTTTTGTCTATGATTAGCAGCATCATCTGCAGAGATAGAAAGATATCAATAAGGACGATTTCGTACAACAGTATTTAGATCTCAAGGTCTTGCTTAATGAGATGGATATTTTTAGAAGAGAACATGTTCGAGAAATTTTTAGAACAAAGCTCATGTGTAAGCGATTGTAAACGAGTTCACCGTCACCGGATATTGCAAGCATCAAGCCTTGGTTGTGGATTGTATCCTGAAATTGTTCTTTAAGATGATTTCACTGAAAACCTATTTATATATTTTCTTTGAAGTGCGAGGTAACAAAAAACACTTTCCAAAATTCTCAAGATTTTTTGTTACAAATCCAAATTTTTGAATAAAAAAACACTTGAAACATATTATACAATAGAATTAACTTCAAAACCATAACCCTTCAGTGTTCTCGGCTGTTTTTTCTTCCTTTAAGAAATCAAACCATTGTCTGAGTTCATGTTCAACACATCAGTTTCAACACCTTATGAAATCAAGAGTTAGAACATCCAATTTTCAGGTGGGAACCTCAAAGTGGAGATGATCAAAACTATCAAAGGAACTAAAATGATATGCAAACCTTTAGCTTCAGTGTTGGGGATCCATGGCTCATTTACAGAATCCCTCTCTCCCTCTTTGATCTGAGAGAGCAGAGACTCTCCCCCTAACACCTGAAAAAKTATCACAGATATAAATTCCAGAGATTCATAATAATTAATTCAATGAACACAAAATCTGACGTGTTCTATTGCTTCAACTTTTCACTTAATGGGGCAGATGGAGAAGCAATGCATTTCAGCAGGACTCAATACACGATCCCAATTGAGAAACATCACCGATTTGCTTCAATCCATAAGTTATTTATTACTAAATCGCAACCCATTTAAAGAAAAGAGTAAAAGAACAAGAAGAATCGCAATCCATGGAGGGGCACCGAAACAGAAAAACGAACAATAACAATACAAACGAAACAAAAGGTGAAAGAATCAACGATCAAAGTGAAGTGAAGAAATCAGATAGCAATCGACAATGAATACGGCAATAATATACATACATACCTTGGAAGAAGGTGCAAATATAGAGCCGAAAATTCCAGTGGTTGAGGAGTAGGAAGTTTCTTTGGAGCCAAACAGGTCAATGGTGAGAGAAGAAGAGGAACCCAGTTGCTTTTTTCCTTCCATTTTGATCCTAATCAGTGAAAGAACACAGATTGCCCTCTAATGGCGGAAATTGGATGTGGGTTTCTCCGGAAACAAAGAGAAAAACAAAAAACAGGGGAACAGAAAAAGAGGTAGAGAGGAAGAACACGTGAATGGTGAGATGCAGAGTTGAAATGATGATGAAACTGCCACTCCCCACCAAATTTATAAGGCAGAGAAGAAAGGTGGGAAGGGAAGAACCACACTAAAACTGAAACCTCTTTCGAAATCTATTTGAATTTCTCCATCTTTTTTTTTTCTTTTTTTTTTCCTCTCTCTCTCTCTTTTTTTTTTTTGAAAAAATTTGTTCTTTAAATTTCCATTTCTTTCAACCTGTCAAGCGAATTGATTGGCTCAATGACACGTGGAGTAGTGAGTTCTTTAGGTGGGACATACACTGACAACCAATCATTTCCTGCCACGATTTATCCTAGAGTGGATAACGACAATTTTTAGCTTCCTTCCAAATGAATTGTTTTTTACACTTTTTTTTTTTTCATTTAAGCCATTTTTTGACTTCCCCACAACATGCTTTTGCCTTCTTTTTTTTATTATTTTTCTTTTCCCACCCCTTTGTTTTTTTTCCTTTTCTTTTAAATTACATTTACAAAATAGAATTATAATAATAGTGGTTGAAAATGAAAAAGGTGTTGTTAGGTGTGTGTTTTCTTTTTGAAACAAGTCTTCACTAGTATTTTATTCAACTATAATTGAAATCTAATTTCTACCCAAAAAATCAAGTCATGGGTCAAGGCTCTCTATTTTGAAAAAAGTCAAAAGAGCTTTTTTTTTTTTTAATTTTTTTACCATCTTGAAACCAACCCATTTAAATGGAAATTTCTTGATCTTGTTTAACAACAATTTATTCTCTATCTCTATCTTCCTTCTCAACCTAAAAATAACCTAGAGAGAATTGTTCTCTTATCTTCAACCCTAACCACATTTTCCTGAACTTTTAAGATAGATTTAATTAGGTTAATGTAAAATTTATTCTCTTTCTCTATATATTTATTCTCATCCCTTCAACAGAATAAGGAGAAATGTTTTCTACCATCCTCAACTTAGAACCCTACAAATTTATTATCCTAACAAAAATTTTACAATAATAGTTTTACGTTCTTAATTCATGAATCCTTTGTTGTTGTATAATTTTTTCTTTCACTCGAATAAATTWAATGTGTTTTTTTAAGTAAAAGTTAAGGCAGACAGAGAAAATTATAGTGAAAACTAGAATTTAACTTATGCTTTCGTCATTATCTACAAGCTTTTTAAGTTCTACAGCATCATTAACAGAAAAAAAAAAGACATAATTAATAGAGTTTTTTTTTAATTGAAAAGACATGATTAATGTATTGGTTTTTAATGACTCATCAAAATTGKAGTTATCTCATTGTTGAAACATGTAATTCTAATCACATATCATTTATGACAATTTATTATGTTACTTGTAAAGTTGATATTTTATTTCGACCACAATTAATGTCGAAATTTAACAATTTCCATTTATGTTTTAATAATTTTTATAGTTCTTTTGGTTGTCTTTTGAGATTTTTTTCCTCCAAACTATCTTGTATGTTTTTGTTCCATTTTTTTTCAGTAAAACAAGTTGGGGCGGGAATTCGAACTCAATTACGTTGAGCTATGCTTGCTTTGGCTATGTTTTGCTCCATTATTATATTATTACCTTTTTTTATATAATTATCTTTTATTTAAGATTTTACTTGTCACACATGTCCAATGAATCCTTGACCTTATGAGCAAACTTTACTATGTCTTTTTTTAATAAAACTTTTAATTGGCTGGCATCGTTTTAAATAACACCTATAAATATGTATTTTTATAAAAATAATTACAAACATAGTTTAAGAAAAAGTTTTTAATTATTTATGTCTTCACTTTACGTGTAATAGCTTTTATTTACTAAATTTATTTTAAATAAAAAAAAAGATAAAGAATGAATGATGATCACAATCACCATGAAGATTTATATTTGTATGTATGGTTAAAATCAACACAAAATATCCCAGAAAGATCTTTATTTTGTGTTTTGCAACTTTTAAAAAATCGAGGTTTACTAAAATTTCAAGCAAATTCTATTCACACACAAAAAAGAAAAAAAAAAGTTTCTCATTCACTTACCAATTCCTTTTCACAAAATGACAAAATAAATAAATACGTAAATAAATAAATAAATATATATATTATATCCTTTTTTTCATTTTACCACTGTTATCTCTTTTTTTTTTTTCAAATTGATTCTCATCTACTTTTGTATATTTTGTGTTGGAATAACGTATTGAGTATACCATTGAAATAAATAAAATCCCATGCACAAATTTTATACTTCTCTGTATTATTAAGCTCTCTTCTTTTTTTTTTCATGTTATCAAAGCCTACATGAAAATGAGATTAAAAAAATGATTACTAAAAATAAAACTATTTTAAAAATATATTAGATACCCAAACTAATTTTTAAAAAATAACGTTTTTTTTTAAATTCACGTTCATCTCTTGAAGAGACAAACATACATCACTCGAGTGATAGGTGGGCCAGTCTTTTTTCTTAATATGTAGCCCTAAGAGACCATCTGTGTTAGTTTTACTTAGATCCAATGCATTGATGACATGTGGTAGAGGATTTCCAACCCAATTTATATTAATTATATGGACGAATTTGAGATATGCACTATGGAGGGTGTGGACTTGCAGGAAACAATAGCAACCTCCTTTTTCTAAAACAAATTTATCKGAACCATAGATTTGAGGGAGGATTTACAATAAATCTACAAATTATTTAAATATAATTATTTTTAAAATACATTTATTAATTATCTAAGTCAATATAATGAACTATTATTCTAGATTAAATAATAAATTTATTTCACATGCACTTTAAATGTCGTATTTAATAATTTCTTAAATTTTAAAAAGTATATTCAAATAGGTTTTTAAAATATAAATCTATCCAATAAATTTTTACTTTTATTTTGTGTCGCTTTCAATTTCCAATACTATTTAACGAGATTGAATTTCTATTAAAAAAAGAAATTGAAAGTTCATCAATGTAACACTTCTTTTAAATCTTTTTAGGACACAAATAAAAATAAAAATAAAAATCTACAAGAAAAAAGAATTAAATTACAATTGTGTATAAGTGGAATCATTAATAACCATGAGAACTCTCCCTGGTAAGTTACTTTTATCTCYTCTAGTACTTCTTTTAAGTCAAAACCTCTCGACACATCAAAATTAGTTGTCAACTCCATCGTTGCATGGGCTAATTGATTATTCGATCTTCTATACCAATTGAAGGAACATCTCTCAAAGTTGAATCTAAGGTGTTTAATCTCCTCTTCAACCTAAGTCTTCGACTCATCACATTTGTTTGAAGTTATCATATTATAAACTAGCGGAATCAGTTTCTACATAATATAATTGAAATTCAAATTTGTTGTCGCAACAACATTGTTTATGCAAGGAAATGCACAAGACCAAACTTTGGTCGAACTCCAACTTCAAGCTTGAAGAGAACACTTGCACAAGAGGGTAAAATCTCTTACGTTCAAGTCAGTAAGTAGCTCAGACTCAATATTAAGTTCGAGAAGCAATTCGATACTTGGGGTAAGAATGAGGCCCTCTATTTATATGTGTAGACTCCGATAGGCCTTGCGACAGGCAATTACCTTGGTTGGAGTTGAGGTCGAACCTGTCGGGTCTTCCAGATCGAACCCGGATGGCTTGACTAAGATATTGCCTATTTAATGAAGGAAATAACGGCTAAGTCTCCCACCTCGGAAGGTTTGAGGTAGAACTACCTGAAAGTTTGTGTATAATATATCTTGACCAATCACGTCCTACACGTGGCACTCCAATTTCCTTCCCCAAACAAATACTTTCTTAGATTACCTTTTTCTTTTTAATTTAAAGATTTATTAAACTCGTTATTGAAAACTTATAGACTTATTAGACAATTTTAAAGTTTTAAAATCCATTACATCTAAGATTGGGATAAAACTTATAATTTAACTTAAATAAATTTAAGAGGGTAAAAAAAAAAAAAGGAATAGTAAACTCATCAAAATTGTGATTTCTATATTATACTAGTTGCATCTCACATATTTGATTCCTATTTCAATTCTTAATAAACAATATCAATGAAACCCTTCATTTCGATTCTGAAAAATTTATATTAAACAACATCCATTAAAAATATAACATTTTTATTGGAAATGATTTCTATTTCAATTGATCTGGCCAAGTAAACCAATCCCACTAATTCACGAGTGATTGGCTTATCTTTTTCATCTTGTCGGGCCCATAAAAGTTAGTCATTTTCACCCTCTTGTCCAGCCCCCCCATCAATGATCAATGAAACTTCTCTCTCTCTCTCTCTCTCTCTCTCTCTCTCTCTCTCTCTCATGTGAGAGGCAGTAAAGTTGCAGTTGCAGTTGCAGAGACTACAAGTTAAAGATTTTCAAGAGTTCTAATCGGAAACGCCACTTTTAATATTTCTGCCAAACCCATTCACCAAAATTTTATGTTTTTGACCATTTCCAATGCATCCAAATTCTAAAATCCTCCAGTTACATAAAACCTTTTTTCCATTTTTTTTTATAATTTGTTTAATACCCAAGTGTTCGGGTCAAAAATGATGTTGAGAATGGAGCCAAATTAAAAGAAAGAATGAAGGTGGCTTAATGAGCTTAAATATAAAAAAAAAAAGGCCCATTACATTATTTCTTCTTCTTTTAAGTTGGCAATTTTTTTTGGTTAAAAAGTAAGTGTCTGCCGCCCACGATTTCAACCCCTACAGAGAGAGAATCAAGTGAGAGAAATTTACAGAGAGAGGGTTTGGCGAGAGTTTCTTCGTGAGGCTTCACAGAAAAGAAAAACGTGAGCTCTGTAAGTTTTTGTTTCCATTGAAGAATTTTTAGAAGCTTATAAGAGTGATTCGTGAGCATTTTTCTTTGAGAGAAAAGTGAGAGAAATCATTATAGAGCGTTGTAAACTCTTGAAGATTCTCCTGACATTTAGTGGAACCTGCAACGGTAGCAGAGAACTGGACGTAGCCCACATTGGGTGAACCAGTATAAATCCGGTGTCGATTTCTCTTCCCTATATTTTATTGTTCTTGTTGCTTGAAGTTTAGGTTGATTTATCTACTGTTTGAACATAGTTCTGATTTGATTTATTTCCGTTATAATTGGAACCGGAACCTGATCTAGGATTAGTTAGCATATATTGTCTGGAATTGT